GGGGAATCGTTGGCCGTATACCGCGGTTCGGGGCCACCGCTCGGCTCAGGTCTTCACCGGTATGTGTTTCTGGTGTACAAACAGCTGAAACCGATTGTTCACTCGGAGACAATACTGCCGACACCGGGTCGGGAGGGGAGGACCGGATTCAAAGTGCGTGACTTCGCCCAAAAGTACAAGTTGGGCGAACCCATTGCCGCCAACTTCTTTGTCGCCCAATACGACGATTACGTCGGACTCAGGAATGCGAGGGCTAAGAGTGGGGCCAAACCCACTGTCATCCCAACCACCAGAGCGGCACCAATAGAAACAACACCAATAACAACGACAACAACACCACCGCCTGAACCAGTGATTGAGCAACAGATGGAGATTGAAGAGGAAGTGATGACCGATAGTCCGCCGCCAACAGAGCGGCCGACGCGGACCAGAACCCGGTCACCGATGAAGGGTAACAGACGGTCACAGCTGCGGGACTGGACCTGGACGGGCAGGGATTGGGCGCGCAAAGTGGCCAAAAAACCCAAGTTCCCACAAATGATCTGCATGAATTACGATACTTATAAATCTATACAAAGTGTCCTTGGTCTGCCTAAGAATTAGTTTTGTAGGCTATTTTATGTCAGTATAGCCGTAAAGCAGTATGGTAATTTAAAATTAATTTTTAGAAAGTACATGTTCATATTGCAAACTACAGTTACCTAACTTGATTATAAATTTATATTTAAAAATATTTTTAAAATAAATTCTTAAATATTTAGATAAATATCGTATCGTTAATACAGTGGAGAGAAAATTGCAATAAATATTTAATCTATTATTTATATCCTATAAATTATATGCTTATTACTACTACAGCTAATTGTTTGGATTTAGGGATTAAAATAGTTAACAGATAATTACATCGATAATTACTAAATGCCTTTTAAATATTTGTGTACAACATATAATTTACCAGTAAATAATCGCACAAACAATTTGCACAAAATAATTACCAAAATGTAAAAATTAAAATAAAATTTGATATTTTTCTTAATGAACTTCACTATTATTAAGTCCAAGGTTTACATTAAAACACAGAAGTTTATCATATTTTCAAAATTAAAACATCATTTGTTTTTCTTATCTATTTATGGCCTTCAATTCTAATTCACTACTATTTTTATATAAAGTGTTGTGAATTTTTTTATTAATGTAATACAGATTTTTTATTACACAAAATTAAAATTTCATTACAAATCTTGTACAATTAGATATTTTGTCCGGTTTTAGTATAGATTATAATTAAGGTGTTTGTATTTTTCTAGCAATAAATTCAATTATGTTATAGAACAATATAAATAAAATTAAATAATATTTAAATACATGGTATATTTAAACATTTTGCATTTACAAATATATATACAAACATTATCAGACATTTTCTACAAATATGATTTATTCCAGTAATATGAATGTAATGATTATGTAATAAATAGTACTCTCTACTTATGTCCCAATGATTATACAATAAAGTAGTTGAAAATACTGAAAGAAATTGTTTATAAGAAATATTAACTAATAATTGCACTGTTATCACCAGCATCTATTAACAGCTCATTTAAATCAATTATGGACAAACATAATGTGGTTCCCGGTGTTATCGATACGGTTCCCAAAAATATAATTAAGGTATAATATTTTTATTTTTAAATGTTATATAAATAATATTAATTATTGCAAATGATTTTGAATCAACAGATTCACTATTCGAGTGGTGTTAACGTAAATGTGGGCAATGAGTTGACGCCACTGTCCGTCAAAGACGAGCCAACAGTCCAGTGGCGCATTTCAGGTACATCGCCTAACTTATGTTAAACTTAAGTTAAGTTTAAGTTTGAACTTAACTTAAGTTCCATTGTGTTTCTCGAAAAAACTTGGACTTAACTTAAACTTAATGTCCAAAACCAGTTTTTACGCACTGGACACTACAGAGAGTATTGCAGTGAAGCGGACACTCACTCCACATACACACAGTCCACACACACGTTCTCATCTCTATGCATACAAAACATATGCAAAGTGAGGGAAGAGTGAAGGCAAGAGTTGGCGTACATTAAGCGCGCAAATTAGGACTTACGGAGTTTAATGAAACGCAAATATAACCTGAGGGCAACTTATCTCTTTGCTTCTAGACTTAAGTCAAACTTAAACTTAACTTACGGTCTGCCTTTACACTTCTTTGTGAAACGCAAAATCATGCGTAAGTTAGAAAATTGGACTTAAGTTTCTTTATGAAACAAGCCACAGTGGCCCACAAAAGAGGGCGCTTATTATACACTTGCGATGACAGACCCGGACGCCGGAGCGCGGGCTGAGATTAAACACTGGCTTGTGGTCAATATACCGGGCAATGATCTGTCAGCGGGTGAAACGTTGGCCGAATACAGGGGATCGGCGCCACCGGCTGCCGGTGCGCCCCATAGATATATATTCCTGGTATACAAACAACCCTCGGGTCGACTCAACCACTCGGAG